TGATACAGCGGCTGTACGTATTAGCTCAGCCAGATGTTGTTGTGAGACAAGTGAAGTGCGATATTCCAACTCGGCCCCTCGCTTGTCCATCACACTCACTCCGACTAGATGTTGCAGGGATGAGATAGAAGCACTTTTACTACCCGAAACAGTCTGCGTCTTTAACAGTTGAGTAAGAGTCTCTGGAGAGACAGCGTCTCGAATGTCAACGTAGAAAACGTTTGTCTGATGGCGCACAGCTGTCTCCAAACCGGGACCTAACAATCGTACTTTGTCAACCTGATATTCTGGAATTACCGGCACCTGATATGATACGAAATAAATATGAATTTGTTATATAGGACTCAGAAAACGGTATAATTTTTCATGAAATCTTACAGAGTCAAATTTCGTGTTTGAATTGTATAATTCGGCTCTTTATCATAGCCGCTTTTATAATTTCACCTAATCTCACATTAGCCAAACTCTTTCTCACGTCATCGGTCTATGCAATCCTCGTGAAACCAGACCCATTTCGCAGATCTGTAGTTTCACCCCAGTGACTATCTCCTAACTTCTTATACACGATTAGGCGGCAGAGCCAAATGATACCTGCAGTATGTATTTCCATATAGGTTTCTCTTCTCGCGCAAAGACACTTGACACTTCGTGAACATTCTACCCCCTCCTAAAGCCGAAAAAAAAATTATTTCAAGAGCATCTAAATTAACTTAACCTTCACTGGACGACACCTCCATATCGCCATAACGCTTCTGCCCTAATATCGTCCTTCCTGGATAGTACTGAGGCCTGACTCTGATGGCTAAAAGTCTTCCAATGCCTCCTCTCTTAATACTTCATAAACAAGCTCTCATCAACATTAATCACCAGTGCCTTGCCTTTTGCATCACAGGCTCTATATTTAATTTTCGGTAAAGGTAATTTGGTAAAGATTTCCTTGAAGCTGTTAGATAAATCTCAATAAATCTCTTAGAAGCACCTTTTTGAAAATGAGACATTAACTCTTTAAAATGCACTTTGTAACATTGGTTTGACCTTATTTTCGCAACTTAGTCATGCATCTTCTGCAATAGTTTTATAATATCCAACATCAAACCGTTGACTTAGTACACTCCTAGACCGGGGTCGTGGTCAGCGTCGTCATTAAGAGGCACTATCCTTAGCATATAATGACAACTTTTCAAAGTGCACTTTATGCATTTTATATCGTTCAATAAGGCTTTCATTTTACCATGATGTGCAATTTCGGGAGAAGCTCTTGAATTCCTCTAATAAGGGATAAAGTTTAACATCTGGGCTTCCAATTTTGATTGATATTAATACCGCAAATAAAAGCAATCGAAATACCATAAAAATAACAATCATTGTAAAGTGGCTTCACTGATAATATAGCAGTTGTTATTAGCCAATAACGGAGCTCTGTAAACTTTGTTAAATAGCTGGCAGCAGGGACAATGAATGATGACGTCTATTGGAATGAGTCATATGAATTAACACCCAGAAGCAGCCGATTGGCGTTCACTTTCGAGAGCAGATTATGCTTAAGGCTTATATTTAAGGCTTCATTGTATCTGACCTGAAATAAAACATTAATTATCCATTTTCAGCTCCATTAGCAATTTGCTAAGGCAGCAATTATAGCCAGAGGGAAGCCATTTGATCGAAACGCAGCAATATTTTAATATCTAGATATCGAAGTCTTAATATATCAAATTATTCTATTCTAAATAATTTGGCCATCTCGCTCCACAGGTTCAAAATCCGGGATTCATTTTTAAATAGTGAGAGACATACCATAAAAACTGAAAGAAAACATCGAAGGTATGGAGACCAAGATAGCGTGGCCTTATGTGTGGTCGTAGTCTCTACTTTCCTTATATAGAGGTTGTTTGACCTTGTTTTCGCAACTTCATCATATTGGTAGGAAGACCTAGTGGAACACACTTAGCTCGGAGTCCATTGTATGAATGATCATTTCCCAAGTCCGACCGTGGACGTGGTACATTCACAGACGTTTCGCCGGCATTGTCAGTGAGTATCGTCATTCGTAGCACCACACAACAACTCGTCAAAAAGACAAGTAATGCCGATCCTTTGACCAAACGTGTGCTAAACAATTGTGGTATCTCCCCTTCTGTTCTAGGCTATTCACATTTCCTATATCCTCTTATCACGCATTCACTGTACAGATGGGGTGGCAGGGGTCGAGTGAACTACGTGAACCAGGGAGAGAGCAGACGGATTTTATGAGGCAAGAGGGAGACTCTGATAAGACCTAGGGCAGGACTGCGTAACAATATGGCAGACTCTGATCAGCATTCCCAGCACAAGCGTGAAGAGGGGTGAGAACATTAGCTTTGAGTGTGGAATGTTTTCATGAATGCCGCTCAAAGGAGCACACCACACTACATCTAAATAAGCACCATACAAATTGTGACAGTGAAGTCGTGATACGAGGATATATGAAATGTAAATAGCCTAGGGCAGGAGAGATACCACAACTATTTAGCACACGGTTGTTCGAAGGATCGGTTTCCCTTGTCTCTTTGACGAGTTGTTGTATGGTGCTAATAATGGCGAGACTCAGTAACCATGGCGACTACGACGCCGGCGAAACATCTGGGATTGTACCACGTCCACGGTCCAACTATGGAAATTATCATGCATACAATGGACTCCGGACTAGGTGCGTTCCTCTAGATCTTCCAACCAATATCACCTAGTTGCGAAAGCAAGGTCAAACAACCTTAATGAAGTAAATTACGTATACTCTGCAGTATATCTTAAACCGCATACTACAAATGATGAGAAAAGACAATTTCGGACACCATTAGAGGCCAAGGTAAATATTTCAATTGGCCCGTGATTAAACAGAGAATCAAAGGCCCCGTTACAGCCGGGTTGTTTCTGCCTTCGTTTTGTATAAAATATATCCGGTGGATCATGCCATAGACAACCTAAGAAATCTGATCGATTAGGCAATAACAATTTTCATAATTTTTTGTTTTACTCTCAATTTTGAACATTGCAGAGCCTACAGTACAAAGAATGGCCCCAATAGGCAATATAAATTTACACAATAGAAAACTGTCTTAATAAACGGAAAGAGGAAGGAAATTATTTAGGATAATAAGTACGAAAAAGTAAAAACCCAACAGCTAAACGACAGATAAACTGGGATAGCATTTGAATTTCTTTGTAAAATTAATATAAGACTAGATTCCCCCTTGTAAGCTGGTGAATGAAAGATTGATGAATTTTAATTTATGAATAAAGAACGGAATTGATGTTCAATTCAATAGGAAAAAAATATGTCATTAAGAGTAAGTGGGTTAAGATGAATCTCCTGAGATAACATTATTGCTGAGACTTTCATTTCGTATGAAAGTGTATGGAGAAGAGATTCCAAGATCGATCTCACCAGAAGAGGACGGTTGAATTTTGTTTTACTGCAGCCGTTTGGCTTTTATACGACGTTGAGATTAATGCAGTCTATGATACTTCCTTCCTCTTCTCGAGTGAAAACGGGCCGAGCTTTCGTCCATCATATGATGGGCATCATCAGAGCTGGGACTCATTCTTATGAAATTCTCACCTTAACGATAGGCCGAAAAGACTATTCGGCTCTAGCCTACCTCTTATATAGTCTCATCATTTAAGCAAAGGAGAATTTAAAAATAAAGATAGATATAAAATGGTTTCCTTAATTATCCTTATACTGTTCAACTTCTTTTGGATGGCGGTTCAATACCCGCTCTCTACTTTCAATAGCCTCTCTTATCTTTCTTTTAATCGCAGGCGTACCATAATCAGTAAACCTATTAGTTTGAAACAATTCTATCTCAGATCCAGTTTCTACCATGTGTTCGGCTACTTCTGACCATTGAACACAGATTCCTTTATAAGCATTTTTGTGTTCCCTTAATCATTGTCGAATAGGTCGGCATGTTTGACCAACATAAGATCAAACACATGAGCGAATAATCCTATATCAGCCGGATCTCGATAATGGGTCATATTTCTCGTTAAAGATGGTTAACAGAAGAAAGTGTGAGGGTTTCTTTAATCACTGTTTTTATCCCCCACCTTCTTGCTAACTCGTCTATCTTTTTGAAAGAAGTTATGACGGTAAAAAAATATATAGGAAATGGTCTCAGCTTGTCTATCGTTGACTAAATGGTCTCCGTCTGAAAATTTATTCCTCAGTAAAGAGATATTGGTCTCAGTAAGCCCTAAAGTATAATTATTTTCCAGGAATAAATTTGTCAGTCGGTCCAACTCTTTAGTCAAATGAATGCTATCCGCTAAGCTCATACTCCTAATAATTATTGACTTCAAAATTGCAACCTTAATTTTGTTACTATGGTTGGAAAGAAAATAAACCATAGCCAACATATGTTGGCTTCATATCAACACCTCTACCTTACTTTATTTTTTAATGACCAGAACATCCAGAAAGGATAAGGAAATATTCTCTTCCACTTCAATTTTGAACCTACTGGTTGAGTGAAATTAGGAAATTATCTAAACTTTCCTTACCATGAGGCCAGGCGATAAAATAGTCACCCATGTATCTAACTAGCAATTTGGGGGTTAGTATTGCTTCTTCCAGGAAGTGTTCCTTCAGTCTTGTTATAAATTTGTTCGCCAAAATAGAAGCCAGGCAAGATCCCATCGCTAGTGCTTGCGTTTGTTCATAAATCTTGCCAGTGAAGGTGTTACTAATGGATAGGTTAATAAGTCTAATTATGGAAGCTACATTCAGCCTTATTTCTTGTGACCTCTGGATGCTCCCTTAGAGTTTGTATCAGAGCTTGAATAGCTCCTTGAAAAGGAATGTTTGTGTAAATAGACGCAACATCAAAACTTTCTAACCAATCATTATCTGAAAGTGTTTGTCGATCAATCAATTTCACAAATTCATACGAATTTTTCAACTGAATATAGCCAAAAATTTGCAGTTTTCCTGAGTTTTATGCATAAAAAGCGTGAGAATTTATGCCTCACGCTTTTTTCATTATTTAAAAGTAATCTTAGAGGAACTGTAAGCCGTGGGGGTCAATGCATCTCTCTGGAGCAGTGAATTCATTTTCCACTTCTCCATTTCACCATTACTTAGGCATACCTTTTGGCATACCTTTTTAG